TAGTAGAGGCATAAGCCTGGAATAGTTAACGGCATAGCCATCCCTCTTAATGCAATGCAATGCATAAGATAATACGAATAAAATGCTGCATCGTGACTCGTGAGTCGTTGACACGATTAAAGATATACGTATATCTTTAATCGTGGTCGTTAATTAAGTATTTATTTTTTAATAAGTTACAATCAGTTTACAATTTTAACTTTTAAGTACCTATTTAAATTATTATGATACATTTAGTGTTCTTGAATATATTATTGTCATATTTACCACATATTGTATTTTATGTATTTTATTTAATAATTTAATCAAACATAAAAGTACCTACGTAAATTGGTTAATCACACGTGAATTGAATACTAATTGGCGAGTAAATTTGTAGCTACAATTATTTATTGGTAAGTTCTACTATAGTTGGTAGTTGAAAAAACTAAAATAATATAATGTGTCATTAACTCAAAAAATTTTGATTTCAGTTTAATCATTAAGGTATAACTTACTCATGCGATTTTTGTTCAAATGTATACCTAAGTATGGATAACTGGTACCTTCTGGATAATATATGGCTTATTATACAATCAAGTGGCGTATGACAACACAGTAATATTACAAACAACTAAGAATTTCTGTGAGTTAGAGTAGTTTGTTTTGCTTTGGCATTTAAATTAGGAAAACTAACCTATGAAAAAAAAAACAATTCAAAATATCATAATACGTATATTCTAGAAAAGGTAGATTTAATTGGTAACTTTTAGATTTCAAATGAGAATCTACATTTTTGAAATATAATTCATGTATGGTTTAATTTTCAATGAATTTTGATTGGGCATTTACATTTATCTGTCAAACTTAATAATTATTAAAGGATCAATCGACATTGGTCAACACTTAATGATTATAATTATAATTAATAGCCATGTGCCTAGTAAACTATTTTCAATAAAACATGTTTGATTACCCTAAAATTAACTTTACCTAAGGGCTAAGACTGCAAATATAACATCACTTGTTAGTTTTTTCATTAAATTTATATTTTCCTTATTGATATTGTTATGTTTGATAAAACATTTGTATTTTTATGGATTTGACCAAGTTTACACAAATGTGGTTCATTTGTGCCACTAAGGATCTAAATTTGCTACTGATTAGTGATTACATAATTTAATTTAACTCCTGACTTGTAAATACAATTTTCATAAAATGTTGACTGAATATTACCTTGCTCATACTTAATAGATACTTATGTACATCCATAGTTTTTTGGATGAAATGTTTCATATTATAACATTTATAACCTTATAAAGTCTTGAAGTTATATTACAAGGTTATAAATATTTTTAAGTGTAATATTATTTAATTATGCATTGTATTGACAAACTATATTTTAGATAATCAAGAAAATTGAAAAAAAAGAACTAACTGCATATTAGGACCAATGATATGTATTGAAAACTAAAAATGTTGCTAATGTTCATAAGTTGATACATTATACATTAGCTAATATTGGATTTTAATATTTCAACAGGCAACAAAATTAAAAATATGGTTAGTATACTTAGTACTTACTTATTTTAAGTGAAATATTATTCAATTTGGTATTCAAACTAATAGTTTTTATTGTACTTTTTTCAGATACCTATCGGCTATCAAGTAATTTTGAAAGAAGTGTAAAAAAAAAAAAAGATTTGGACCAACAATCGAGAGGAAAACTATTACCAATGTTTGATACATCATACATAATATACATAATATTTAGATTGTGTAATTCAAATAAAGTATATTTCAATTAATACAAATTACTAATAAATAATATGCTTTTCAATATTAAATAATAAAAGAAATATATTTTTACTTTAAATTATATTTTATTGCTTAGTAAAATGTAAATAACTTATATTATTTCTGTAGATGATTGGTGTTGTTGCCTATTTATAGCTATTACTACTGAAGTAATAAATTCACGTTTGAATAATATTATAAGGGCCACTTTTAAATTTTACTATTGTTTTAAGTCTGGGGGTTATGGAGATTTTTTTCTCATTTTTTGAATACATGTTAATCTTTACTCATATTTTGCATAATTGCACTACGAATATTTAGATTTAACTGTATCATCAAATTTGAAATAGATTTTTCATGGTCCTGGACTTTAAAATGATGGTTAAAATTATATAGTGGTTAATTATAATAATAATTTAAAGGTACATTCATGACTATAGTACAGCCAGCGAAAAATGAGCCACGACGGCAACATTACTAGTAGTGTATTTTAGCGTAATCAGGGGTTCTCCGTTTGAAACTATTGGTGTCCCACTGTCCCTACATTTTATTTTACGATTTTTCAAACCCCTTTAGGCCTTGAAAAAAATTTACTACAACACGTTTTTTAAATATTTTAATAGTAGCACTGACTCTATGATAAGGATCCATGACCAAATCAGTATGACTACTATTTGAAATTAATTTACGTGGCAAATAGTTGTAGAATCCCTGACGAAATTCGGCCACCAGGAGCATTGGTATCGCTGCTGATTTTTCGCTGGCCGTACTATAGTGCCTGATTTTGTCCAAAAATTATTCTAGAATATGAGCATATTTATGTATCAAAAATGTATTGTATGCGAATATTTTCATGCATAAAAATACTTTGAAAATTGTATAAAGTATTTATTATGTACAAATGGAAATGCCATTAATGTAGAGAATTATAAATTTATGATTGTGTTAATTGTACTGAGAAAAATTTAAATTATTTTATTTGATGTTTATAAAATATGCTACTTGTAAATTGTAATCAATATTGTAACTATCTGCAAAATGTGGAACTTAAATTGAATTTTACTCAAATATGCAAAAAAAAAAATATATTAGCTACAGAAATAGATTTATGCATTAAGAAACATTGATTTTAACCAGAATTATTTTAAGTGTAGAAAATTATACATGTATCAATTATGTAAAAACTATGGGCCACTATGACAGTAAATTGTTTGAAATAAATTATGTTTAACAATTATTGATTATACATAATATACTTAACCCACCATGACGTGTCCAAAAGATATTACCTATATAATATATTATTATATTATTCAATGAAAAAAAATAAGATATTTACAAAGAACTTCGTATTTATATTTAAAGAAAAACTAATATATTTTATTAATTAGGTACTTATACATATTAATATAGAGGTAACATTAGTCGCCCGTATGAAGACATCAATAGTTTACGATGCCACGGATTATTTCCATAAATAATAATACCTACTCATTAGTTATTACTTGTTAGTACTTATTCCTTATTTTCCATTAGTACAATAATGATTGGAATAGTAATAATATACCTATGACTATTAATTACAATTTTATTCAAGTGACTAACACTTATCACTATTAACTCAATTTTTAATTTAATTGAAAAAAAATAATTAAGTAACTTAGTTAACTTCAGTTAATAACTGAATAACCATTGAGGCATTAACAATGACAATTATAGTCAATAACCAATATCATACATACCACGATGACACGTAAATGATAATAACTAAATAACGTAAATATTTTAATTTCAAATTTGTAATAATCATAGACCATCTAACCCGTATCCAGGGGGCGTGGCATACGTTATCAATTAAATATATCATATCATATTAAAGTATTAAACAATGGAAATAACCCGACCCCGCGCCGAATACCCTGCCAATTAGGCGGAAACAGTTTTTAAATACGGGTATATAACATCAAGTTGGTGTACGGAAACAGTTTCAATGTTCGGACTTCAGATCATAGGTAAACACTCATTGATATATTAAACTAAAATAATGTTTAATATCTATGTAAACACTTCACCCATCAGCTGATCGAGTTTCGCTTCAATACATATAATTGTTCTATGATCTTATACAACTCATATTACCACTCTTATACCATCTTATACCACTGACGAATTAAGATAAAGGACAGGACAGGACTGGTATATGGGATAACTAGATAACTCTGTAATCGTATGGATACCCCCACCATAATATGTACATGACATTTTTGGTCACCATTTCCAGTCCATAATTTTGTATTAGATAATAGCAGGTATAAAAACCCTGTGTTGAACTTTGAACGATATCGTATTTATTAGTTATAACTTCTGGTCTTTACGAACGAAAAATACTATGTACTTATAAACAGTAGCACAGTTACTTATGAGAAACCACCAAACTTTGAGGCACTGTATCTCGCTAATGGATTAACATAAAATGAAAATTTTAACGTTATAATTCATAAAAAAAATAGTTTTATTGTTTTATAAGATTTTTATTATGGGTTGCCATTTGAAAATCAAAAGTTGATAATAGTTTGACCAATAAATATAAGGGTGAAAAAAATTAAAGTGTTATACAAATGTAGAAAAGTATGCAACTAAAATTTTTAGAAAAAAAATTTTGGTAAAATGTCTATACTTTCAGAAATAATGAGTGTTCTTCGATAAAAAAATCACCCTGTATACTACCTAAAAAAAATCTGTGTTTTCCTACAGAATTTAGTTATAAATTATAATGGTATACCTATTGCTGGTAAAAAATATATCTAATATCACAAATGGTCAAATATGCACTTATAAATTAAATATGATCAAATATGTAAAATATGCAGCAATACATTATGATTATAAACTCATATTGCTATGAAAAAAATTTCTATAATACTCAACTATGTTTTGAATGATTATTGAACTCCTAGAAGTCCCTAGCCCTAGACTCATTACGAATTGTGATAGCGAAAGTCATAATATGAGACTAATTATAGTAAGTTATATTTTCAATAATTTGTACAAAAATAAACATTCATTTTATTTTTAATTTACTTATGAAACACATTACACAACCGTCACAACCATTCCTCAATCCTCCTGGGTATGTGATCATTTCTTCGGGGTTTCTGTGTCATCGTATTCAAATTCTTATTGTGAATTTTGTGTTTTAAATACAATTTTCCATTTTTTTGACAATGGCAAATAAAGAAAATAATCTAAAACGGAAACGGTCATCTAAAAAAAAATCTCAAATTCTCTGGTACTACGAAGATACAAAAAAATAAAGTAAATACCTATTAATATAAATTATATTAGAAATTTAAATACTTTATTTGTATGTTTAAACGTTTATAGTAAATTAAAATAAAATAATAATATTTTGGGTTCTACGCCTCTACCCATTCAATAATTAAATCAAAATAATTCTATTATCCTTTACAAAAAACAATTCTGTTGGGGTGGATTAACACCCCCGCCAATACAGATGCCAATATATATAACTATATTTACTTATTATAATTAGCAGTAGACACTCTTGTTTTCATAAAAATAATACCTTGGAAATAAATAATTTTGTTTTTAGTACCCCCCAAGAAAATGTGGAAAATGTGCACTGACGGCGACGATCTGTCAGCCTAAGATATTTTATATTGGGTATATTATTTACGTTTTTATATCTTTTATTTTTAAATTAGGACAGGTTGTTGATTGCATACTGCAGGTTAAAATAACATAAAAATATTATGAAAATCTCATTGTCAATAATTCAGTATTAAAATACGTACTTCAAATTACATATTTTAATTAAAGTCAGAACAACTTATGTGAATTCGTGAACCGTACCTAGTAAACTTTCAAGTACATTGACTGTTCATAAACATTTATAAAAAAAATTGAATACTTCAAAATACCTATACAAATTATAGCTTATAAATAAACGAAATATTTTGAAAAATATTTATTTTGTAAAGAGAATACAAATTTAAATAACTTAAAAATAAAGGTCTTAAACTAGATTCCATGGTTCATACTGTAAAAAAAATCTAAAAAATATAAATGCACTGATTTTTTTACAGTTATTTTAAGTTCAGATTTGTACGAATTATTATTATTAAAGCCAAGAATGACGATTTTAGCTATTTCGTTGTAATTTAAAAATGTTATTTGATAGGCACTGATATTTTTTCATTCCAACCGATTTTTTTCACAGATTTCCGCTGATGTGGTTACAACTAAATTTAAACCTATCCTAACCGTGTTATACTAATATAAATATCATATCAAAAATTTCCTAGGCTGACAAACCGTCTCCACTCAGACACGGTTTTCGTACAAAATAATATTATTATATAGGTATAAGTATAGGTATATACTTGTCACTTTTTTTTATATTTTAGTTTTGAAGTTTTACTTCTAGGTTAGGTTAGGTAACCTAACCTAAGTCTTATTATTTTAAAAATTTAAAAATTGAATTATAATTATAGCTCAAACACTATTTTACCCGATTTGAGTGTTGAAATAAATGTTCCACCAAATGATGTTGGTAATGATTCAGGAATTGTGTTGAGTAACTCAAATACTCCAGAATGTTCAACCTCAGTAAAGTAAATCCTATTGTTTTAAAAGTCTTTGTTATTGATAAAAATTTAAAAATTTAACTATAGTTCAAACGCTATTTTGTCTTATTTTAGTGTTGAAATCAATATTCCGGCAAATGATGTTTTGAATGACTCAGGTATTGTGTTGAGTAACTCAAATACTTCAGAATGTTCAACTTTAGTAAAGTAAGTCTTATTATTTTAAAAGTCTTTGTTATTGGTTAACATTTTTAAATCGAATTATTATTTTAGCTCAAACCCTATTATGCCCGATTTAAATGTTGTTTTTGAAAGAAATATTGATGTAATTGAAAGCGAAAGAATATCTCACGAAGTTGTGGAAAACAAGTTAGTAATAAATTAAAGACTTTAAAATTTACCTCTTAAGTCTAAAGTAGGTTGTAACTGGTGTTATTTTTTATTTTTAGTGTTGGAGGTCGAAGAATAGTTGATGTAATGCATATTTTTGACCAAATTAGAAATGGTAATCATGGCATAGGATTGGGTTGCACTTTTATTGATTGTGAATTTTTAAAAGAGGTTCGTTCAGGGTATTTTTCTTCGTGGATATTTAAGTGTAAAATGTGTAATATGTTGACTAAAATTGAATCGGAAAAAAATGATTTGGGGTGTATTCCAATTAATAAGGCAGTTGTCAGTGGTACATATGCGATAGGAATAGGACACACTCAAGTGGCCGAATTTTCAGCAAGTACCTATAGATCTTCCATGTATGACACACACAACATACATGAAAATAGCTGAAACTTTGAGCGATGAAGTGAAAGAGACTGCTTGGAATGCAATGAAACTTGCCGGAATAGAGGAAAGGCGATTAGCATTAGAAGCAGGCGACGTAGATGAAGATGGTATACCCATGTGCCCAGTTATAGCTGATGGTCAATGGAGCAAACGTAGCTATAAGACCAAGTACGACGCATTTTCAGGAGCGCTAAGTAAAGTGATGGTAGTAAACATTGGCACCAGGGAAAGGGGGAACTGGGAAAATATCTTGGGCATAATTTGGAGGGAGTACAAGTTGACATACCTGTGCATTTTGCGTCTTAACTAGAGAAAGGACTTTATTATAATTTAAATATTTTACCTAATACTTATTTTTCATATTTTTACATATTTGGTTACAAATACATTTTATACTTTCTATGTACCTATGTATATTGTATATGCTGTTTCTTATTGCTACACTTAAAAATTACAATAGATTTATAATTTTAATAATTGTAACTACTACATTTTTTTTTAATTTGTATATTTCGAAAAAATCCTTTCCCTATATAGACCCTAATAATAAATTGTCATAATTAATTTACAAAAACAATTTTAAATATAAATTGATATTTTTTATTCCCTTAGCCCCCTTCCATATTTAAATTTGTACTGTTTTTTATTTTTAAAATATTAGGTATATTATAATTATTATATTATTGTAGGCTACAATTATCGGTTTTCGGACAAAGAAAATTTTATTTGTGGGAATTCGTAATCGATATTGTGTTGTCTGTGAAAGAGCCAAGAATATGGGCCAAAGTTCAAAAGCTCATAAATGTTTTATGAACTGGTCTAAAGGCGCAACCAGCATTGAAGCAGACGCAATAGCTGAAGGATTTTTAAGTAGCGTAAAATTGCATGGATTGAAGTATAATAAATTGATTGGTAAGTATGAAAATTATAAAAATATTTATTTAATTTTATAATTAATATGTATTATTGTTGCATAATTTAAGGTGATGGTGACAGTAGTGTCACTAAACGTCTGAATGAAATATTGCCGTACGGACCACGTATGTTGATAGAAAAAATAGAATGCAGGAATCATATATTGAGGAATTATGGGCAAAAATTAATGGCACTTACAAAAAAACCTCTTATCCATGTTACATTCGAAAATTCATTATAAGAAATATTATTAGATTCCGTACGGCAATTACAAAATCCATACAATATCGTAAAAAGTTGAATCAGTCTCTTTATGAACAAACTGAAGGTATTTATTCGTTTATATAGGTACATTGTTTGTTAATGAAACATATATTTTATATTTATTCTTTACTTATTTTTAGGTTTACGAAAAGATATTATAAATGGGCCGTATCATATTTTTGGACAGCACACATCGTGTGAAAAATATTTTTGTCGTGGCCCAAAAGAGTGCGAAAAAAATTTAGTTCCAGAAATAGTGAAATGCGGTCTCATGAATGAAATGTCAGCTATTCTTCGTCGTGTAATCGATAATGCACGTAGTTTATTATTTGATGTTGACAATAACTACTGTGAGCAGTTTAATAGCGTCATCAACAAATATATTGCTGGTAAACGAATAAATTTCACCCAAAAGCAATCATAGAATACTAGGGTCCATGCAGCTATTGTATCATTCAATTCGGGTGGCCAATTTATTCGCGAAATCCATAAAAAAATTACGAAAAAAAGTCCAGGTACCTATATAATTTTTTTACTCAAAAATACTCTTTTAAATACTCTGTAATATATTTTGTCTATTTTATTTAACTATAACTACCTATATTATAAATTATTTATTATTTAACTTAACTATTTTTTTATGCTTTAATAGGAATCATTGGGAAAACATTTTTAAAATATACTAGAGACAAAACAAAAAGTCTGAAATATCGAAGAGCTCTCTTTGTTTCAAAAGGTGATAAACAAAAAAAAAAAAAATTTCAAACGGGCCAGATGAAAATTATGGATTGGCCGAGCCATTAAATGACTTTTTATCTGACGAAGAATTTAAAATTAAAAAGCTTGAATTTATACAGTCAATAACTCTTTCGGAGGCATCTAAAGTACAGTTAGAGTTAGAAACTAGGAACCAAGCAAAAAATCAAAGGTGGTTTGAGGAACGAAGAAAACGATTATCGGCGTCAAATTTTGGAAGGGTGTGCAAAATGAGACCTTACACTTCATGTAAAGTAACTGTACATAATATACTTTATGGTTGTATAAACACCAGTGCTACAGAATATGGTATTCAAACTGAACAACAAGCACTTATGCAACTACAAATGGAAATTAAAAAAAAAATTAATAAATGTGGTCTATTCGTCGACAAAAATATTCCATTTTTGGCAGCAACTCCAGGTGAGATTGTTTATAATTTAGTTTATTATAGAGTTTAATTTAATGTTATGGAAAATAATAAATATTCATTTGAGCCTTTATGAATACATATTTTATTAATATATATGTATACCTTGGATCAGCATCGATTTCACATACTCTATTGGATATATAACTAAATAAATATTCTTCAATTGCAGATGGTTTAATAGATGACGATAAACTATTTTCTACTTGGTAAAAACTATAAATATTTCATCATTTTCATCCTTAGTTATTTTTAAATTTAATACCCTAACTAATAATTTTTAGCGGATTCTGGATACCGTGCTGAACCCTTTATATTAACACCTGTGCTTGGGGCAGCAGAAGGTAGCCCTGAAGAAAGATACACCAAACGACACTGCCAAGTACGAAATTGTATAGAAAGGTGTAACGGAGTATTGAAGATGCGTTGGAGATGTTTATCTAAATATTCAACATTACACTATAGACCTAAGACCTCAGCATTTATTGTAATTGCATGTGTGATACTACATAATATGTGCCTTGAATGGTAATTAAGTATAATATTATTATTATCTTTGAACATGAATTACAAGCTATACAATTATTTAATGTCATTTTAGGATGGGTGTTAACTATAATAACCAAGAAAATGTGGTTAATGATGAAAACCATCAAGAACAACAAGAATTACTTCCTGTTGCTAATATAATCAATGATCATGGAATGGAAGCTAGAAGAATTAGACAAAATATAATTAATACATATTTTTCATAAAATATTTTGTTAATGTATTTAAATAAAACAAAATTAAAATATAAACCCCAGTCTTTTTGATAAAATATAAATAACAACTTATAAACTTAAAATAACATTCTTTTTGATAGAAAACTTGAATACAAAATTTTTAAAAATTAAAATAGCAGCCTTTTGATAGTAAAACAAATAGTTTGGTAGTAGGTTATATAGTTAATAAGACCTTTTAGATAAAATATGAATAAAAAAATTAAAAACCTTATAATAAATTAATAACATAATAGTAACTATTATATATATACTATGTACATTGACTATGCATGTTTAGAAATTGCATCAGCAATATTCATGAGTCCATGGTTAATTAATTCACTTGAATTTTGCATGGCAGTGGCAAGTTTATCCAGAGAAGCTGCTATTGCCTACAAACAAATAAATGTAAGGTATAATGTGAGGGTGTACTTTAACTAAAAATCTTAATTAAAGATAATGTAATTTAACATACTATAAAACCATCGTTAGTTCCTTTCACCAAATCCATATAAGTGTCTAACTTGGGTTTCTTTGAATTATTACTCATAGCTGAAATATATTAAACAACATATATTACATAATTTGTTTTGCATAGCACTTTTATTAATATTATGATTTTTTACTTGGGACATCTCTGTTAGAGCGACGACTAGACTGTAATGGTATGTCCATTGTTTGATTTACACTAGTACCTATAATTATTTACAATTCTATACCTATATACTTAAAGAACTTTAAATGTTTAAACACATACTTGGTTTTAAGTTTAGATAATCGCTTTTGTGTAACTCATTATTTTCCTTCAATATATTTCCATCTAAAATTTCAGAATTATCTTCATTATTCATTTCTTCATCCAACAAAGCAACTTCTAAATCTGTATACTCATTTATGTTTGTGTTTATCTATATTTTTGTTAGAAGTCAAATATAATAACCATTATTTTTTTTTAAATTTGTATGATATAGGTAAAGAAAGGTAAATAAGTTATACTTGATCAAAACTTAAAAGTGATGGATGTTCAAATCCTTCATTTAAACCAAATCCAATAGAGGTTTCTTTGCCTATTATATTTAATACCGCTACTTCTTTTTTCTCTAATTCACTATGGAGTGAGATATTTCCTGTTTGTCGCTGTGATATGCGTACATTTTTGTTTTTTTGTCTAGCAATACGTTTTTGATTTTTCCACACCTAAAATCATATCGATAACGACTACTTACTTTTGAAAACAATGCTATGCTAAATATATTATTAGTATTTATGTATATATTACATTTTGCCATTTTTCAGATGACTTGGTTGGTCCAATTTCATTTAAACTATTTGTTAAAGATTCCCACTGTGATCTTAATTTAATCTTCCCTTGCACACCAATGAAACGTCCTGCTGCAAAATCTTTATGTCGTCCCATATAGTCAATGAGAAACTTAATTTGTTCGTCATTAGCGCGAACTATAGGTTCGGTAGACTTTTTCCTTACATAAATAATATTGGTCTTGGTCATTATACATGAAGTGTTAAGTTTAAGTGTATAATAATCATTGTATATACATTGTGACTTAGCAAAATACATATTACACTGCTGAATAGAATACATTAATAATTACATTGTTTTGAATATTCAAAATAAAAAGAAATGCATTTTCATCAAATTTTAATGTGGCCATGAATGTAATGTAATGTAATCAATGTTTGAACACTTAACACTATATTTAACCTAAATGTATAGTATATATTTATTATATATTCGGGTACTTACCGAAGTGACATTTTCATAAATTTGATTTAAATGTAAGTAAAACAATAAAATGTTTATTTATTTAATCATTTTGTAAATTTGTGAAGAAAACAACAGAAAAGTTTTTAAATAGCAGCTTATCACTTATCAATATTCAAAAATTTTTCTTATCAACCACAATTAATTCTATAAACTCCTAGTAAAAGATACATTATATCTATAAACTCCCAGTAAATGATACAAGAATACAAAATAGTAACCAGTTTGTATCCCATTATTACAGAATGCTTTTGAATACTATTATTGACTACAGATACAAGCTTGTAGCCTTGTATCTAATTGTTTATACTTTTTTACAGAATACCGGCGCAGGCGTTTGCCTATGAAGAGTTGAGTGAGATATGGTGTATGATTTTTATCTAATTTGAGTTAGTCCATGAGAAGGGGCGTTGTTTTATAGATTTAGAGGTTGGGTCAGTAACCAAGGCGGATAGACCAAGGCTGCGGATGTGGTTGAAAGTGGAATTTGAGTTGCGGTAAAAAAGGTTCTTGCTGTTGGTTATTATCGATTGCTTGACGGTGGAGGTACGAGTTGAAGAAATAATTATTTTATTTGTCACAAACCATGGGGAGGAGGTTATAGTACGGAGGCCGATGTTTTGGACGGCTTCGAGTTTGCGCCAATTTGCTTTGGATATTAGTGGTCCCCACGCCGGACCGGCGTATGATAGGATGGGTTTGATATACAGTTGTAGTATGTTGAGTTTGGTTTGGATGGGAATGGGGCTGGAGCGGTTCAGAATCGGGTACAGCATGCCGCAAACGGCGGTGGCTTTCTTGATAGATGACTTGATATGTGCTGAGAATGTAAGATTTCGATCAAGGGTTACGCCGAGGTAGTTTGATGTAGGAGACCAGGGGATTCGGTGACCGTTAAGGTTCAGGTGGTGTGAAGCAAAATTGTTGGGACCGTTGAACATGACTGCAACCGTTTTTTGAGCGTTTATGTTGAGACGCCATTTTTCGCACCAGTCTAGTGTTATGTTTAATTGTTTTTGCAGCTGTATGGCTGCTCTTTTTGGGTTTTTGTTCGAGGTGGTGAACATAGTGTCATCGGCGAATAGATAAAGCCGGGCGTTTTGGTTGAGGGGGACATCGTTAGTGTAGGCCAAATAGAGTGTCGGCGAGAGACAAGAGCCCTGCGGTACACCAGAAAGGACCGGTCTGCTGCTAGAAATAGTGTTATTTAGTCTTACTGAGAAGGTGCGGTCGGTAAGGAATGAGTTTATTATATTTAGCAGTGAGGTAGGGGTGCCTAAGGTGTGGAGCTTGAACAATAGGCCTGCGTGCCAGACTCGGTCGAAAGCTTTTTCGACGTCCAGAAAGACGGCGGCTGTGCGTAATTTGCTGTTTGAGTTAACTGTCAATTGGTCAATTAGGCTGACAAGCTGATGGGTTGTGGAATGCTGTTGACGAAAAGCGAATTGTTCGTTTCTTATTTTGGGACCAATCGCAGCGTTAAGTTTCGCCAAAACAACACGTTCGAAGATTTTTGAGAGGGATCCTCCCTGCGCAATGGGGCGGTAGTTGACTGGATGACGGTGATCCTTTCCTGATTTGGGGATAGTGATGACGATGGCATGTTTCCAGGAGGTTGGGAAGTGGCCAATTCTTAGGCATCCGTTAAAGATGTGGGTGAGGAGTAAAACTGATTTCTTGGGTAGGAGCTTGATGGCTGTGTTAGTGACGGAGTCAGCGCCAGGAGCTTTGCGTTTGGGGATTCGGTTGATTGTTTGTTGAACGATGCCAGGTGATGTGTAACAAACAGTTTGTGGGGATGGACGAAGTGAGTGGATGAAGTTGGTGACTTCTGGTATGACAGGGACAGAGGTTGACTTAAATTGTTGTTCGTACGTATCACTTTGCTTGCTTTTTTTGCTTCGAATTGGGAGCGAAGGAAAAACCCCAGCTGTGTTTGTAAGTGTCAGGCGATGCCTATAACTTATGTTTGAATTTTTTAATGGCTGGTTGTCAGGATGTGGAGTATATTATTGTAATTTCGCAAAGTTGATTGGTCTTGGTCGGCGTGTGATTATTTGAGGAGCTGGTGATGTTCCAATGTCGAGGATGTGGGTGAATGTTGATTGGGAATTTCTGTGATAAAATACCCTAGCCGCTAGTTCTGCTTCGTTTCGCAGAGAGTTTATGGGTGGATTTAAGATAGCGTTATTTCTGGTGAAAAAGTGGGCACCTGTGATTGTACGGATCGCAACGTTTTGGACTGCCTCTATGTTTGCCCAGTTTGATGCACTGATGAGAGGACCCCATGCCGAAGAGGCATATAGTAAAATTGGTTTGATATATAGTTTATAAATTGAGAGTCTGGTTGGCATTGGGATAGGTGATCTGCTGTCAAGTATCGGGTATAGTGCCCCTCTGGCTTGCTTAGCCTTCCTGATGCAGACCTTGACGTGATCATTTAGGCGCAGGGCTTTGTCTAGTGTGACGCCGAGATAGGTGGTCTTGTTTTTCCAGTCGATTGTTTGGCCTAGTATTTGGATTTTTCGCGTGGTTTCTTTTCGGCTGGTTCCAAAAAGTATGCATATCGTTTTTTGAGGGTTCAGTTTTAAGCGCCATTTTTTAATCCAGTCGGTTGTCGTGGTGACTTGGTGTTGGAGACGGATTATGGCGAAGTTTTTCGACGTGTTACTAGAGTTAAACATGGTGTCATCAGCAAACAATGAAGTAGTATCATGAGGTGAGGATGGGAGATCATTGATGTATAGAGTGTATAATAGGGGAGAAAGGCATGACCCCTGTGGAACTCCTGCTTCGATTGTTCTGAGGGTTGATTTGAGGTCGGAGATTTGAATTTGGAAGTTTCGGTTTGATAGAAAAGATTTAATGATTTTCATCAGGGATGTGGGGACGGTTGACATTGTGTGGAGTTTGTGGATTAATCCGTCGTGCCACACTCTGTCGAACGCTTTCTCCATGTCTAAGAAAATGGCAGCCGTGTGTCTATTATTATTTGTATTTATTACCAAGTCGTCGATCAATTTAGTGAGTTGCGTAGTCGTCGAGTGTCGGTGTCGGAAAGCGTGTTGTTCTGATCTTGGCTTAAAATATTTGTTTAGATGGCTTAGTAGGATTTTTTCAAAAACTTTTGACATCGTGACGAGAAGTGATATTGGCCTGTAGTTGATTGGTAGACTGTGGTTTTTGTTGGGCTTCGGAATCATGACAATGATGGCAGTTTTCCAGGAGGTCGGAAAATAAGAGTGTCTGAGACAAGCTGTGATTAAGTTGCTTAGTCTTACGATGGCAGGGGCAGGAAGGTGCTTTAGTGCAGCGTTAGTTATGTTGTCGTGTCCAGGGGCTTTGGCGGGTAGGTTTTTAATAATTCCAAACACTTCCCCAGGGTAGTAAAAAGGCTTGACTTTGTGGAGTATCCGTTCAGTTCGTTGATCCATCGGCTGACCTCCAATAGCTCGTTCCCAGGGTTGGCGGTAAACTGGTCCCTCATTGTGTCTGCAAACAGCTCCAGTTTGGATTTAGTGTCGTAAATTTTTTGCCCGGAGTTTGTCGTCAACGGGGTGGAAGCTGGCTTCTTGTGAAGCAGACGACGATTTAATTTATAGAGTGATTGATCTTGGAAATTTAGTGTGGATGTGAAACGGTCCCATGCTAGTTGACGGTGTTCTTTAAGGAGGTTTCGGACATACACTATTTGGGCGTTTAGCATTGTCTTTACTGCTGGATGCCTAGTGCGTTGCCAGTCTTTCCTTAAATTTCGTTTGGTGGCAATCTCAAGTAAGATATCGGGGGAGAGTGGCTCTCTGGTTTGAGGTTTGTTAATGAGGTAGGAGCATTTTTCGATTGTTGACTTTATGAGTGTGGTAAATGAATCAACCTCGTTGTCGATTTCTGTTGGGTTTGATAGTTTGGTCGTCAGTTTTGGAGATTTAAGCGATAGTTCTTGCTCAAATTTTTTCCAGTTGATTCTTTTTCTGGCAGCCGGAGGGTTAATCGTAATAGGAGAGTCTCTTATAGTCATAACAATTGGGTTATGGTCTGACGTTAGCTCATTATGATTAGTAAGGACATACTCTCTGTGATGGAGGTTTACAAGTGCTATGTCCAGGATATCTGGCCTGTGTAGAGAATTGTAGGAGTAGTGTTTGGGGAGTCAGGTGCGCAAATGGAGTATGAGTTGGATGTTTCCATATGTTGGTGGAGAATTCTACCCGCCTGGTTTGTAGTGCGACAGTTCCAGGACTGATGTTTTGCGTTAAGGTCACCAGCTGCTAGAAAAAGGTCATTTTGATTTGTCAGGATGTCCAGGTCGTTAGTTTGCAGGGGAGAATTTGGACTCTTATACATAGAAGTTATACGGACTTGGTCGTTCCCAAGTTTGATCGTACGTATCAGCAAATAATTCAACCTTTTCTTCATCCCTATACATGAGGCCATTTGGACCAATCAGCGGATGGGCCGCAGGGGTTTTGTTTAGGAGTTTCTTATTTAACTTGTAAATTGAACCGTCTTGGGCGTCCAAAGTAGTGAGGAAATGATCACATTCGTCGGCACGGTGTGTCTGGAGGATAAGACGTATAAATTTGATCTTGCTGTTTAGACGACGTTTGACCAATGGATCACGAAAACGTTGCCATTCGCGGCGTAGACAGTTTTTTGTTTGGATTTCCTCGATGATTTCTGGAGGTAGAGCGTTTTTGAATGTCCTATTATTTTTTATGTACGTGCTGTCGTTGACAGCGGTAACAATGCTCGAGCTAAAATTATCGAGAGCCACGTCGATGTCACGGGGCGTTCTGATTGGCGGGATTGTCGACGGTGAAAGGGAACCAATTTTGGCCATGTATTTAGTCCAGTTAACGCATCTAGATTTTTGAGGTGGTGAGGAGGTGATTGGAGAGTCGGACAGTGTAAGTAGCACTGGATTGTGGTCGGAGGAAAGTTCGTTGAGGTTAATTACATCGCAGGAGAGTTGTGGGAGACGGATTAGTGCTATATCTAATACGTCAGGTCTGTGACCTGCGACGGCCGGGAAGAACGTTGGTGTAACCGGGGCTGTAACGATGTAGTCGTCATTAAGAGCATGGTTATATAATATAGTGCCGGCGGAGTTTGAGCAACGACTATGCCAGAGAGGGTGTTTTGCATTAAGATCGCCCGCAACTACAAACCAATGGTTGCCATTGGTCAGCGCATCAATAATATTTAATTAATGTAATTTTGGTCCTGATAAAAATATATTTTTTTTAATAGTCCAGTCTCAGTCTTTTTTAAAAATTTAAAAATAAAACGGTCCGGTCCCAGTCCTTTTCAACAGCCTAAAATAAATCAGTCTAGTCTCGGTCCAGTTAAATTATTTTAATGATAGTCCAGTCCAGTCTTGGTCTTAATTAAATTAACTAGTCCGGTCTGGTCCAAAAAAATATGGACCATGCAGAGCTCTAGTTGGTACGTATATTTCATCTGCAGAGGATCCTGTGCGTTTACTTGCTCGCACTTTGGCCAGTTCTCTTTTGTATGCCGTCCTCAAATTGTTAATTTTTTTTTTAACAAAAGAATCGTCAGCCTCGGGAATTCTTTCTTTGCATTTTAGAACTAGTGCCTCAATTCCTTTATTTCTCAAGTGCTTATTTTTTGAGATGACACTTTTTACGTTCCACAATGCTGGATGATTTTTATATTCATCAATGAAATCGGCCACAAATGTCTTATCAAATTCGAAAGCCATTGTCACAAAAGTTTTATAATTAAAAGTTTAAATATCTTTTAAAAAAATAAGTTGGCATAGAACGTATTCAAATCAGGACCCAGTGACTTCTACAACAATAGTGTGCGCAAACGCGCGGTTGAGTGTTGGCATCGACAATACCATACACGCACCAACATGTTTGTTGACAGGTCGGTGGTTGTCGTGTTGACGCTCCGCGAGCGCCAACCGCCAGACACGACAGCCCACCAGCCCATACACGTATCAATCTGTCCGTGCGACCGCGTTTGACGATAAATCTGTCGATAAATCGTTCCGTGTTTGTCCTCCGGGGACATTTTGATCCTAGGCGACAATTTGATCCTTTTTTCGTTAGAGGCATTTTATCAAATTATGTAATTTTAAGAGCGGATCAAATTATCCCAGCCAGATCAAATTATCCTCCGGGGACTTTTTAATCCACGTTTTTTTCAAAATGAAATTTTGATCCGTTCGGTTAAAAATGAAATTTTGATTTTTTTTTCTTATAGTTTAACATCTATCATAATATGAACGGCGCGCGGGTAAAAGGGAATAAGTCGAAAGACGCTAGTTTTCAGGAAACAAAAAACTTCTCATTTCTTCAATAATTTTTTTTTTAAATTTTTATTCTTCGAAATTGTTGCCTTATGATTTGTAAATACCATTGTGTAACATGGTATTTTGAAAATGTAATTCATTCCAGTACTTAAGTTACTTATTACTTTTTACACATCATGATACTGACTTATACCTTTTTACTCATGACTTATTACTTTCTACACATCCTGATACTGACTTATACCTTTCTACTATAATAGCTTATTCTCTATAAATTTATAATTTAATCATATTTTAGATTCTGAGTGAAACGATGAATGTATTGATTTTACAATGATGTGTGTTTTTTTATTTTTTTATTTTTTTTGTATCTGTGTACACGATAAGTAGTCGAAATAATGCTTCGATTTTCGACTTCAGTATCTTGTTCGATTGGAAAGTGAATATCGTTGGTGCATTGGGGAGGTCAAAATTTAAATTTCCCAGTAGTTTTCAAGAGCGCCGGGAAAAACAACATAAAAATTAAGGAAAAACAGGAATTTTTACGCAAAATCGGTTTTCCAAAAAATCGATTCTGGTTTTTGGTGTAACTTTAAAACAAATGACCGTAGATACATGAAATTTTCACTGGTTGTTTATATTTGCATTTTCTATACACGATAACATTTTCAAAATATTTTGATTTATTTTGAACTGTTTAGGGACATTTTCATTTTCCATTTTTTTTTAGTTTTTTTTCTAAAAATATCAATAAAATTTTATTTGTTGGTTGCGAAAGCTTGAAAATTTAATAGAAGGCTCCTAATATGTTGTTTCAAAGGCAGATGAAAAATATTAAAAATCCTTAGTCACAATTTTTTTTTATAAGCATTTAAAGTTCAAAAATTGACAAAATATGGAAAAATCACGAAAATTAGCAAATTATTTTGAGTTAAGAATTCGTAAAAATTTTTCTTTTTAAATCTAAGATTTGAAAATCTAATACTAGATTACTCATAAGATTGTCTACCTTTATCAATAAAAAAATTTCTACCGGAAAGTCAAATTAAATTTTTATGAGCGTTTGAAATTCAAATTTTTACAACATTGGATATTCACTCGATTTCTCATGTGGCAATTTCCTTTTTTTGTTGTAATTAAAAAACGAACTACTGTAGATACATGAAAATTTCACTGAATGTTTATATTAGCATTTCCTATACACCCTACAATTTTGAAAATATTTTGACACTTTTTGAGCCGTTTACGGACATTTTCAGTTTTCAATTTTTTTAGTTTTTTTTTTCTATAAATATCAATTAAGTTTTATCTGTTGGGCCAAAAAGTGTAAAAATTTAATACAAGGCTCCTGATATATTGTTACAATATCAATTGAAAAATATTAAAAATACATAGGCACAATTTTTTTTTATAAGCATTTTAACATCGAATTTTGATAGAATTTTTCAAAATCTTGAAAATTATTAATCATCGTAATTAATAAATTATAAAATGTTCAGTTTTTATAGCTAAGGATTGAAAATTTAAAACAAGATTCCACGTAAGTAGTTAATTCTCTTACCGAAAAATCTAAAAAATATACAATCACAGTTTATTTTTATAGTCATTTTATGTTCAAATTTGGACGAAATTACATATTAAAAAACCTAGTTATTTTGTTGTGATTATATAATATTATTCGTGGGTACCTACTTGAAACTTCTAAAGTGTACTATTATATATATATGATAGTATCAGGGTTTGTTGTTGGTGTATAACGTGTTATAAGTACCTAATGGATATTGTGATATGATTAATTTGGAATTTATTTTAGGTCAATTTTTTTTTTAATACCATAGATATGTATATAATTTGTCTTAAACCTAGACTAACATACCGTCTTCGCTCAGAATCGTTTTTCTTATACAATGATATTGTATCATTGAATTCAAATTTAAAAGCATCCATTATACAGTGACCCACTTGTAACCTACTGTACAGCAGAGCGACATCCACTTACCCACCTTTTTTTATCTTGAAAGATTCAGCTTTTTCATGTGTTTTTAGATTGCCTTTCGACAATATCAAACCATGGTCTATTATCTATAAAAAATAATATAAATTTAAGAAAAATAAATAAATTAAAACCAATATATTTTAAAAAAATGGTAGGAACTAGGTACTAAAGTTACATAACATGTTTTAAATTTTACTTAGAAAACATATCGTGACTTACTTTATCAGTCTCAAGTTGTTTTTGAATAGAATCAAAATTAAACTGTGAATTTAAATATTATAATCATTAATATCAATACAAGTAAATAATAAAATTGAGTATTGTAATTTTTATATCCTAAATTTAAATTATTATACTTATAACAAAAAATGTAAGAATAATTCTAACATATCCTACGAAAAAAAAAAAAATAATAATTTATTAAACTTTATCTAATACGTCTTACAAAAATATAATACAACATAAAATTAATATAATTAATTTTAATTCAATATTGTTTCTTACTTTTTTTTTACAGTTCATTACCCGAACATAATTCATAATAATGAATAATTCAAATTTATCTTGATTGTAATAAAGATCATTGATATTAAACTATTAAAGATACAATTATATACAATGCGGGAATTCTTATACATGGACAATGTATATAGATAAAGTTCAATAAATTATTATTATTATTATTATTTTTTTTTTTTTTATGTAGGGCGTGTTAGAATTTTCATTGTTACATTTTTTTTTTTTTAAGTATAAGTATAATAATTTAGATTTAGGATATACAAATTATAATACCCAATATTATTATTTACTTATATTAATAATAATGATTATAATATTTAAATTCACGCGGTAATTATTTGAATGTTATCTTATCACCGACGTAGATATCGAATAAATACATGAACAGTGGCTCCGCAACAGTAATAATTACCACCGGATCTATGGTATTTGTAGACTCGTCTTTTACCCGCGCATTATTAATTATCACCATGACTTGTTTCATTTTTCACCGTAGACAAAGATAAGAAAATAATCTAACAATAATTTTATTTTTGATATGAAAATACGTAGAATATTTTTTTCTTCTAAATGGCGTAATAAACGAAAAATGGCCAAAATTGACTTATTCCCTTTTACCCGCGCGCCGTCCATATACATATGTAGGTGGATTAAATAAATTATAAATTTTAAATATGTAAAATGTGTTAATAAATTATAAAGTAAAATCATTAAATGAAATTAACATATATTTTAAACGTACCTATTTGAAACATTTAAGATTTAAAAACATTTTACTCTCAGGTATATCGTATAATTGTACCAAATTTAAATAAATGCAAATTAAATTTGTAGATGACATAAAGAATAATAATAACAGTATACAACTGAAAAACAAATACATAATTATAAATTATAATAATAAAAAAATAATAATAATAATATTAAGCTAAATTTAAAGCTAATATTAAAATTAATTATATAATAAACAAATTAATATTTAACTAAATGAGTATTATTATTTATTATATTTAATAACAATTGAGTATAGGTAGATATATAGAATGAAATTAATAATAATAATAATAATGAATAATAATTAAAAAATCCTTATTTATGTTGAAGTATACATAATTTAGATTTTTGTTTTCCTTTAGTTATAATTTTTACATTATCCATAGACCATTTGCATTCTTTATAGATTCGAACTTTTTTGACTTATATGTATTTTCTAATAAACTTTTTTTCATTTTATTTCCAGCCATGTTTACTAATGTGGATACCAAATTGTTTTTCCATTTTAAATTTTCATAGTAATTTTGAAGTACCTTCAGACTTTCATGAACAAAATCTACTAATTCTTTAGTGGGTGCTTTTAAACCTACATCTTTAGATGCCCATTCAATATGATCAAATGTCTTGTGTAATATAAACAATTGATCTTTGTCAACGAGGCTTTTATTTGTATTAATTAACTGATGATAAAATTTATTACATTAGATTTTTTTGAAACATTTCATAGCTAAATACCCTGCGTAATATTCTAAGGAACATTTTTCTAATGACAAAGAAGACATTGGTAGTGTTTCATTTTCTGTACAATCATATGTACCTTCTGAATCACTAGAAGTGGCTTTAAAAGTAGTTTTTGGAACGTCCATATCTTTATCCTGTGGCGTATCATCAATGAGTAAGTCAGTTAATATTTCTGGTTTAAAAAATTGTCTTCATCATCCTCACAATTTGTTTTTTCAGATGAACAATTTAAAAGACTAAAGGAACAAATAATTGCAAAACCACATCTGAATGATTTGCTAGTTGGATTTCTATTGTACCCACAACGTTGTCTGAAAATTGAAAATAGATTTTTGAGTGCATCTTGACACAGTCTATTTGTTTAAATGAAGTAGTTTCTTGGTGATGGATTTTCACTTTTTTCATAAAGTTC